CTTAAGGGCTCAATTAATAAATATTTATGCATTTGTTTCTGGTATACATGCTTTATCAGCAGAATGCCAGTATGCTTTGAATGATGTCATTTACAACCAATATATATTAAATGGTGTTTTTAAGGGTAAATGATTTTGTATAACATAATGCATTATGTTAATGTGGTTCCATGCACTTTTACTGGTTTACTGGGAGGCATCCAGATACAATTTATTGGAAATAAAAGATTGTGTTTACTAGTCAGCATAACTACCTCATATTACAAAAGAGTCTTATGTAAAAAAAATTGAAGAATGCATTAAAGTACTTTGTGATGTTTTAGGTGTAAAATTAAAGGTGGCAAAAATACATGCTACATATATACATGTATAAAAATATACGCTATAAGCATCTTTCTTTGTATTGTTTGGAAGTAACCATGTTATTTTATACTGAGAAGCATTTTAGGGGAGTAGTAGGTAGCCATCAGGCTACCATGACTGGATTTAAATTTGGTTTACTATTAGGATAGCGAGTACTAGTAACTGCAAAGAAACCTAAGACCCCTCTTTTGGACTACTGTATGAAGAAGCAAAGCATTTTTGAAACTCCAGGACTGTAAAGGGATGTTACAGACAATATATTAGGGCTTGTCTTCATTAGGAGGTTCGTGTCAGTCATAAGTCAATTATTCCATTAATTTGACTCCCATCAAAAAACAAAACCCTGCCTTCCTTGTATTAAAAATGACTGGGTATAGAGGTGAGATCTAAAATAGACAGTCTTAGCTTAACAACTTAGCTGTTGTTTCTAAAATGTTACAGCACCAGTCTGCATCCATATAGTGATTAAGGAATGCTCATCTCGCCATCCCATGAACTTCTCAGCTCATGGATTCTCCTTGTTGTGTAGTTATTCCTCATTTTCAATCAAGAAGGCAATCACATACTATTTCACACCAACTATCTCAAACTACTGTCTCTCTTATAGGACATCTCTATCTCCATATGATGATTGTCTTCCCAGAATAACCATCAAAAGGCCTAGTCTTCAGATAGCTGTGAGGAAGTGACTCTGAACAGAAGCACCTGATTTTTTTTTCATTCCAGTTAGCTATGGTGCTGCAAATGACTTCAGCATGAGCTAGAAAGGAATTTTACACAATTCTCAGCAGCCTGATTTTATTTGACATCTTTAACATCTGAATCAGTCAAAGGAAAATGTAAAGAAAAGAACTGAAGCTCTGCTGGTGATGAATGTATCATACTCCTCCTGCAAATGGCATTTGTGCCCATTAAATAACCTTTATCAGCTGAGATGATAGAATCTGAGGTGCTGCTGGCACAGTAATTCCTACCAGTGTCTTAGTTCCCTGTCTCTCCCTAATCCAAAGGAGCAGGAAGCCAGGCCTGCAGCCTCCTCAGCTGCACTAGGCAGACCATGGCCTGTAGGTCCTGCCCTCAGCTCAGCACTGGTGAGGCCACACATGGACTTCTGGGTTCACTACTCACTCCACAGAACAAGAGACATGGAGATACAGGGAGGCATCTGGAAGCTTCGTATGAGGAAAGACTAAGTGAGCTGGGCCTGGTTAGCCTGGAGAAGACTGAGAGGGGATATGATTAACATGTATAAATAGCTGAGGGGAGAATGTAAAGAGGACTGGGCCAAAGTCTTCCAAGTGATGGTCAGCGACAAGACAAGGAATAATGAGTGTAAATTAAAACATAAGAAGTTTAATCTCCATATGAGGAGGAACTTCTTTCCTGTGAGGGTGCCAGAGCCCTGGAACAGGCTGCCCAGGGAGGTTGTGGAGTCTCCTTCTCTGGAGATCTTCCAAGCCCGCCTGGATACCACCCTGTGCCCCGTGCTCTGGGTGTCCCTGCTGGAGCAGGGAGGTTGGACTAGATGATCTCCAGAAGTCCCTTTCAACCTCAACCATTCTGTGATTCTGTGATATAGAAGTGAGCCCCCACTCACATTCACAAACAGGCAGAGGCTGAGACAGTTGGGATTGTTCAGTCCGCAGACAAGAAGGCTCAGGGGATCTTATCCCTGTGAATAAATCCCTGATGGCAGTAAAGAAGACAGAGCCAGACACTATCTAGTGGGAGTAGATAAAGGCAGTGAGCATAAAATGAAATACAAGAACTTATATTTAAACAGAAGAAAAAACTTTCTGCTGGAGGAGTGACTGAGCACTGGATCAAATAGCCCAGAGATGATGTGGAGTTCCCGTCTTTGGAAATATTCCAAAGCCATCTGAATGCATTCCTGGGTAACCTCTTCCAGTTGATGCAGGTTCGAGTGTGGGGCTTAGACTAGATGATCTCCAGGGGTCTCTTCCATCCTTAAATATTCTGTGATTCTGGACCGTCTCAAACTGTTTACAAACTGGATCCAGACTGGATGATGTAGCTCCACAAGCATCAGTATCTCTAGAAGCTGTTGTGGCTCAGACATTCCTGTCAATATTTTAGCAGGACAATATTTTTAGATGGTGTTAAAATGCCTAGCTCATGTCCACAAGCAGCAATACATCTCAAGAAGTGATGAAGCAAATAGAAAATTTCACAAAGTCTGGTCAGCTGTTCCCAAAAGGTCTTGTAGTGGAACTTTTGAGATTTGAGAAAGCATCTCCTTCATGAGCTGTGCTTTGTGCCTGTGGAGCTGGAAGATAAAGGTGACCTGGAGATACCTGAAGGAGTGTGTAGTCTCCAGTTAAGAGAGAAGGGAAGATGAACAGAAGAAACAACTCAGTGATATGTGCTTGTGTCAAATGATAGATTCCTTCCAGATCATTACGTACTGATCACTATGAGCGCATCACTCATGAGCTTTATGTTCAAAATCATTTCTCTTCCTCTTCTCATGATAAGCATCCTGGACAGAATAACAGGAACCAGCCCTGGGGTTCAGTGGCGACACTGATAATAATTTCATGATTCATGAATTGGCCATTGTGAAAGAATTAGCAAAGATGCATTTTGCTTAATGTTCTTGCCTCAGACTTAGAAAGATGCTTTGCTTTCTGATGCTAGTCAGAAAAGTGTTCTTTAGAACATGTTTCTGAATTAGGCCAGGAGAATAGTTAGGTTGTGCATTAATCCCTCCTCAAGCCCTGCTTAATACAATATATTCTCAGAAAGTGATAGTTAAGTGGAGAGCAGTGAGACTTGCTCCTACATATTAAATATACATAGATATATAAATAATTAAAATTGCTTCTTCCCATTCTCCTCACGTATTACTTTAGCTACCTAAATGATGAAGTCTTTGGAGCAGGAAACACATAACAGCATTTGTTTGGGAAGTGCTTATCAAACTCAGATAACAGCTATATAATGGCTGTGTCAACCTGGAGCGCTCCAGCACTGATCTTGCACAGATGCCAGAGTGCTGTGCAGCATCTGGCAGGTTTCTGCATGGGGCATTTACCGCTGGGACAGTTCATCTAAACAGAATCCATTAACATCACAGCAAGCTGCTAAAAGCCTGGATCACACTGTCCTGGGTTTTTTTGTTTGTTTTTAATAGTCATAATATGTGTACGTGTTTCAGCAGTGCTTTCTCACATCCTAGCCAAAGAGAGATGAAAACACAAGGACAGAGCACTCAGACGTCTCGGGCTGATGGCAGGTCTCTGATCTGCTTGCCAGGATGGAAACTCACTGGCCCCAGAAGAGCACACCTCTTCCTTCACGGGGTAATTCTGGGCTAGACTGTTTTGTTTCCTTATTTGCTGTTACAGAGCTACTCAGCTCTGCATGTTCTCCCATGTGGGTGGAGATCATCTCTAAGCCTTTGCCAGCACCTTCTTAACTCTTTTGAAGCGAAGGGTCACACATGAGCATTTTCTGTTGTTGTCAACCTATGCTTCAAAGTTGTGTCAGATTTGCTTTGTGAATGGATTATTTTAACATACTTTATTATATAATTTTGTTAAAAGAACCTTCCATCAAGTCTAAAAGTCACTAAGGTGACTAATAAGAACTTGTGTTTTTTTCTCATGGGCTTTTGAATGAATAAGGGTGGAAAGTAGGCAGATTTTGACAAATAGCTTCATATGTTAACTCCGCAACAATTTCATGTCTTTGCCCTATATGTGCAGACCATATGTTCACCAAGCAAAAGAGTCCACTCTAATAAAGAGGCATGTATAGATGATTGCTCTCTAGCTTGCCAAGATGTTAAATATGTCAAGGACTGCCACCTTGGAAGTTCACAAACCACATGTCAGGCCCCAAATAAGCAGCCTGTATTTCTTTAAAGAAGAAATTGCAGGGCTTGACCTGTCTCTTCATATTTTAAGCTCTTTCTTGCTCTTGTGTGCATATGTGGGAAGACGACGGTATCTCTCAAATTACTAGAATCTAGTTTCTGATGAAGAAGCTCCCATCCTACATCTCTAGGATGCTCCCATCCTATATCTGTCATTTGCATTCCCAGCCCTTCTATCAGACCTGCTTTATGTACTCACCCAGCCCTGTGAGCTCTGCTCTGGCTACTCAGCATGTCCACGTGGCTTTAGAAACCAGAAAATACAGTGGCTGCTTTTTTTTCCCCCCACCTTTCCAGGCCTGATGTTGCACAAAAGCAGAGGCAGGTGAAAGAAAATAAAGCTCCCCTGAACTGCCAGGCTCTTCCTACTTCTGAACTCCTTACCCTGGGATGTTAACAAAGTTTTGCAACAGTAAGGATTGAGGGTAAGCTTGGCCGCCAGTATCTAGGCCAAGAATACAATAACAGGAGTGTAATTCTGTCTGTTGTGACAGGGAAGGAGAAAAGGTTGAAATGTGTATTAGTTATAGAAAAGCATTTTGATGGATTGAAGTGGAGGTAACTGTGTCACTTTTTTAAACATTTTAGTCTAAAAATTATTTCACTGCCTATTTTCAAATAAACCATTTCACATACGTGTTTTTATGTTTTTCTCAACATTTCCATTTTTCAGATGCAAAAAAAATTATAAAAAGGGGAAAAAACACTCCCCCGTCACCATCCTCCAAAGTATTTATTCAAATCTTCAAATAACTATTTCTGCTTTCTCTCCTTTCCCCATTTCAATGCTTCTTCAGACAGAAATGTTGATCAGATGGAGTTTCACTTCAGAGCTGAACTTTGCAGGAAGTCTCCCATTCAGGAGACCAGCTTCAGTCCCAGACAAAATGCTGTGAGTTACAGGGACAGAAAACAAACAAACAAATGAAAAACAAACAAACAAACAACAAAGGCTGGCAACACTGCAAAACACAGGGTATCTATAGGCGGAATATATTCCCAGGCTGGGGAAATACTGAATTTTCACAACACTGAAGCAGATAAGCTGGAGGTGGACGGAATTTTTCTCCTAGCACTCCCTCGTACAAATAAACACTGCTGAGAAAACAAACTTGTTTAGGGTGAGAGCGGGCTGAATTAAACAGCGGTATCCATTTGTGGTCACCTAAAGCTGCTTCAATGCAGATCGCTTATCTTTGTTTACTGTTCTAAATCACCAAATGGTGTGAGCAATTTTGGGCATGGGTGTATGCTGTTTATGCCTTTGTTTGTGACTGCTTGCCCCTGTCATATGAACGTGGACAAAATGAAAATAAGATTCCTCGCCTGACTTTAAGATCTTCCTTTCTAATGACTGTTAAGGATATTTAGACTACTTTAGAATTTTAAAATCAGTGGGTTTAATTAAAGTATTGCTTTCTTACCTAGGATACAGTCTTGAATCAGCATTACTTGTTTGGCTAAAATGAAGGAATGGAATAAAGATTGTGAAGGCATCATTAATCTGGGCACGTGGCCTTTTTACCACAATTATATTGTGTGAGAAAGAAAGTATTTATTGGTTATCACTAAAAAAACCTCAGGTGAGATCAAGCCCCAAATCCATGGTCCATGAGACCGCACGATTTCACTCATTACCTTCAGAGTGTCATCAGGCTGTTGCCCATGAAGTGAAGGTGACTTTATTGCACAGGTATGTGCTAGCTTTTTCCCTAGGCAAGGGTGGGAACTCGGAGCTTTCCATGGGTCATAGATTTGTATCCCACCTCTGGTTCAAAGTCTTTTTGGAGGCGATCTCACTTGAAGAGGTGTTTTAAGTAAACAATATGCCTAGGGAAAAAGAATGACTATTTTTTTAAAAACAATAGAGCCAACAGAAAATGTTGAAAAGGTAACACAAGAAGTGGGGACTGTAAGAGAATTCATTATTTATATGCTTTTAATGTGCAAGGACTGTAAAAGAAGACACATGTAAATGTGTAACAAAAGCACAACAAGGACAATGAAATGAAAAAAATGGTGCAATAATAAACAGAATAATGCACTGCAGGATTATGCACTGCTCTGACTAACAGAAATTACGGCGTTCAGATCTACAGATCCAGTTGTGTGTGGTGACAGTGACACTCCTCTGTTTCACAAGGATGAGCTAAGACTAAATATTTCAAACTGTGATAAGTCCTACAGTACAAATACAAACACCTAGCCTAAGTCAGCATTCAGAGGGCGTGAGCCAAAATCCATGGAAATGAGTGCAAATCTTTCCACTGTCTTGGTGGGTTTTGGATGGGGAACTTCAAATTTACACTTTAATGAGCATGCAAATAATTTTGTATTAAAAAGCAGGAAAATAACTGGAGCAGGAACACAAAGAATACTTTCAACTAGGTCACCAGATGGACATTTTTCATTTGTAATTATATCATTGTCCTCAAGTAAAAACTGTATCATTTACAAACTAAAAAAGTCTGGAGGTGAAACATTGATAAACTGAATAAAAATAGAGCATGATTCACCTCTCCTTTTCCATTTTGCATCCTTTGCACAAAATCTCTATTTAAAAGAGGTTTCAGCACTTTTCTCCTGTTTGTAACTCAATTCCTTTGTTGCTGGTGAACATATTACTTTAGGCAAAAGGTTTGCTGGAACTCTACAGTGCTCCAGCTCACTATAAAAAACAGCTTGTCAAGGAGTCACAATTACATCTCAGTTCTAGTTAGGGCCCATTTTTATAATAACAGTCGTATCTACTTTTTATAGCTGTCTAGAAAAACAGTACATGCACTGCATGACTTTCCATAAACTTAATTGCATCTTTCAATTGTTTATAATTTGAGTGTTGTAGTTAGAACAAATACATTCTTTTAAATTCTCTTTTTAAACTCTGCATTCCTGCATGAGTATTAATGACAAATCTATAACAAAAGTTGTTTATTGTGGTAGGAATAGAAATTGAGAAAGAATGTGTTAATTTTTATTACTGTTTAAGGCTATGTTAAATACTATTTTAATTCAGTTTCAATTGCTGAACATTTACTTATCCAAGACCATGTCTATTTTAGATTAACATTTATCAATTATGCTTTGTAGCCCTGAACGTAAATGTCACTTTTGAAGAGTACTGCATCTTAGGTAAGGTGATCCTACCGGTTCTTCCGGATTCTCCTGAATCCCACTGGATTCTTCTTTTGACAGATTTGAATCCAAAGCTTGGGAGTGTTCTCCTACTTGACTCTCCTTTATCCCTGTGTAGAGATAATATAGAATCTTCAATCATGCTTTATGAAACAAATGCTGGAAATCTGCTCCTAGCAAGACCCATGATCCATGAAAGGAAGGAAGGAAGTATCCTAGCAGAAGATGCATTTGTAAAGAAAATTTACATTTTTTGAAACCAGGAAGAAGTTGTTCTGTGCTATAACCTCAGTCTGTATGTTTCTATGCATGTTATTCTACTATCCTAGGCATTTTTAGAGATGATTTCATTTTAATTACAGGGGAAAAGAATGAAGTGACCATTAAAGATACAAATAGGTACCTGCTATTTACATCTTTTGAACAAAAAGACAAATCGAACTGCATTACACATAAAGGATATTTTGTCTGTTAAGCTTTTCTATTAAGGTTTTGCCTAAAAAGAATGCTTTCTCAGGCTGGATTCATTGTGCACACATTGTAGCATGGTTGTGAATGCTAATGATGTTTGGTAACAGTGACTTTGAATGCAGTATATTTTTTGAAATGTAATTTAACTTGGAGCTCTGCTAGTGTGTAATTAATTAAAAAAGCTTCTGGAGCTGCAACTTAGCTCACTGGAGGATGGGTGAAAGGAGGCAAGACTGCTCAGTATGCTACTCCTGTCCTGAACTCTGTTGTCTCATGATTTAACAACCAGTCTGATTACCTGAACCTGCCCATTTATCTCAACAGTAACATCTCTAGCACTTAGATAATAGCTCTAATATGACAATCCCATTTGTGCCTGTGTGTTTCTTTAGCTATTTAAGGACTATCGCTGAGGCAGACTTTTAAAATATGTGTTTATATAAAATACATTCTTAAGACATACCTAAGGACCCTGTTCTGAAAATAAAGTTACTGCTGCATTAAGGTACTGAAGAAAATACAAGATCTCTTTTTTTGGTGAAACTGTAGGCTGATATCTGTGTACTGGAACTGACTGTGTGCTGCTTGGATGGGCAGGATACCTAATGGGAAATGATGGGAGAGAAATAGTAAAAGGGCCATTTTACAGTGCCTATTGCAACCTAATAGCCACCAGGACTACCCATCACATCTCTGCAGGCACGATGGCCAGGGAATATTTTTGGTAAGGGATTAGACCCATCTTTGCTATTTCTCAGGTCACAGAGCTCTGGGCAGTCTTTGGGCCCTGATGGTCCCAATTGCTGATGTTAACAAATGACTGCAGGAGAAAGCAAGTCTGCAGCAGAAGAGCAGGGCAGTGACTCCAAAACTTCAGGGAATTGATTCGCTGCACAGTAAAAAACTAAATGTTTCTATGCCCATGAACTTAAAAGTACAACAACAACAACAACAAAAACCCACCTCCAGAACTTGGTAGGACATAATCAATACATTACTGCCTTTCCTGGCTTTGCCACTGTCTGCATTTTGCCTCATTTTGCCTACATTCCTGTGCTCCCCACATGTACTTCTCTCAGCTGCCTCGTTTTAATCACACAGCAGGGCTGTGTGATACACTGCGCGTTTACATTACAGGCATTTACACACTCACCAGACACACAACCTACGGATTCCTGTCGCATTTGAAATCCCACCCGTGAGCAGCTGCTCCCTGCAAGGTTATCTTGAGGCCCTCGCTGAATCCCAGCTCCAGCAGGTGGCTCTCTGTCCCCTCACAAGCACCATCATGGAATCTAGATCGTTATGCTTGGAAAAGACCTTCAAGATCGAGTCCAGCTGTAAACCCATCAGCACCCTGCTGCTACATCTTGTCCCTAGGTGCCTCATCTGCACGTTTCCTGAACACTGCCAGGGATGGTGACTCCCTGGGCAGCCTGTTCCAATGCTCGACTACTCTTTCTGTGTAGAAGTTCTTCCTAATTTCACCTGAACCTCCCCTGCCGCAACCTGAGGCCACTTCCTCTTGTCCTATCGGTAGTTTTATTAGGAGTGACGTTAGAAGTGCCTGCCAGACCCTTCTGCATCCTCCTGGGGCTCTGCAGAGGTGCCATGGAGGCCTTCACATCTCCTCCAGGAGGCTTTGGAGCTCGTGGTCAGCAAAGCCAGAAACAACACAAAATCCAACTCAGTTAAAGGTTTCTAACTCAAAGGAATGTTTCATGTTGGCCTTTTAATAAAAATTACCGTGGTGGCCAAGTGCAATTCCTGCTGGTACGGACAGAGAGCAGTCAGCGAGTTGCTCCTCAGGGAAGATCTGTTGTACCCGTGCTACCCGAGGGGAAGGTGGCCAAGGCTCGAGCGAGGCCTCCGCGCGCCTCAGAGCCCCATCCAGCGCCCCCGGCAGACCTCCCACATCACTGCTGACCACCCGCTCGCAGGGCTGCAGGTCCCGCGAGGCTGCACGTGGAGACCTTGACCTTGTAGAGCAGCTCATCCGAGCGGGAGATCCTTCCCTGCCACCTGTGCCCCCACGCACACAGCTGGGAGATGGCGGCTCCCCGTGGTGTGACACACTGGGACGCGGCCGTGCTCCTGTGGGACACAGGGACCCTGCGGCACCTGCGCAAAGCACGGGATGGTGTCAATCCCAGACTCGGTGCATCCGGCCATGCAAGTCTGCTCTGTGTGCGGTACTGACACTTGCGGCTATCAAAAATCCAGCCTCATGCTGCTCCAGGCCAACAAGTGGCTTAACAAAACCTGAGTACCCTTGGAGAAATGCTACCTGCTTTCTGTTGCTTGAGATGTGCCTGGACATATTTCAGTTTTCTTTCACGGCTAGAAATGCGCTTTAAGACAAAAATGAATGTGGAAACTGGAGCTGTAAGATCAACACTAAACATCACGCGGCAATGCAGGGCGTGCCTAAGCAGTAACGTTAAACTTGAGCTTCTTGCCGCTTCCTTCAAAGCTCTGCTCGGCTCAGCCCCTCCCTGGTTATCCCGCCCGGCTGCGCTTGCTGCAACCCCTGCACTCCGCGGCTCTTCCCACCTTCCTCCGCTCCCCCGGGAGCTTCTTGCACAACTGTCTGTGGCTCTCCCTCCTCTGCACCTCGGTTTGGCACAGCTTTTCCCTTGACCCTTTCCTTATGGTAGTTGCTCTTGAAGATTGTTTGCACTGAATTCATCAGGTTTGGCTAAAAGCACCTGTTTCTGGTTTTCCTAATTTTCCTTTGTTCTCTTACAACATGAGTTGTTCCATGGAAAGATTTTCCATGGTACAGAAATGAACCTATAGGTGCTAGCAACTTTGCAGATTTTCTTATTAACTAGAATATGGGTGTTTCTGTCCCGTACTGATCTTCACAATCTTTAGAGCAGTTGAGGTTGCTTGTCTGCTCTAACTCCCTTGCAGTAGGTAGCAAAGGGTACGTTAGACTCTTCAGAGAACCTCTGTTAAAGAAGTTCATGTCCTGGACCCAACACAGTTTCATGTGCTCTATCCTGAGGGGCAGGCTACAGGACGTGTCATTCCGTCCAACATGCAGTTTTTCCTTGTTCACACGTAGGGAATCTGCAGGGAAGAAACAGAAATGTGATACCAGCAATGGAACTCAGTTCATTACAAATTCAAATCAATGGAAACAACAGGACGTATTATTTATCTGAGCCTTGCATCAACCTGACTGCTATGCATAATGATCTTAATTAGAAAAGTCGAGCTGAAGCAGGAAGACAGTCTGTCTCCTAGCTTTGAAATTATCATCCCCCCTATCAGTATGCTTGGGTAACTTGTAATTAGGGACAAAGGTTACAAATAATTTTATATGCTGGAAAACCGGTTTTATACTTGTCATTTCAAAAAATATTTAAGAAATAGATACATGACTTGCTTCCCCCACTGCGCTTAGATTTTTTGCTCCTAGATTACTAGTCTGCACTAATTATCCAATGGTCTTAAGAAATACTTATACAAACTTAGCATTTACATACAGCCCCAAATACTAACACGATGTCAGTCTTTGTATAATTTTTCTTTGTGGATCTCAAGTTATTTTCCAAAGTTTAGTAGCTTTTTATATCTCAAGCTTGTTTCTGAGGAAAGCACAGCTCGAAAAAGTTTAGTGGATGCTCCAAAAGCTGGGAAAGTGCTTGCCCATTCAAAACTTGACTGGCATGTTACATCAGCCCATAATTATACTCTGCAGCTCCCCACAGAGTTGGTCATATTCTTCTTTTCTTGTTTATCTTCCACTGCTATCACTGAAAATGCAGGCTTCTAGTTTTGACAAATTGGCAAAGTTGGATGTGTAAGCTTTCTTTGCAATAGTGTTGATTGGCTGTAATTAGGAAGAAAAAAAAAAACAAAAGAAGTCCTAACTCCAAGGCAGTTATTGCCTTGCTTAATTTAAGCAAGTTATTCAATCTGGATAAATCCGCTGAGTAGGCCCATGGACTATTCGCAGTGTCAAGTCAAACATGAAAACAGCTCTTGGTAGGATCAATACCTCATCTTCCAAACTGCAACACAAGTCTTCCTGTTTTATCACAGATGCAGTTACTCTGATCTTTTTTTTCAAGGTAGTATTTCATCTTAGAAACACATTAGAGAAAGATCAAACTCTCCATCAAATGAAATGGTTTTGCTTTCCCAGAAGAGTATTTTCACAAACAAAAAATATGGAAATTAGAATCACAACTAGGATCTGTTTAATCAAAGTATTAGCTACCTTTCTGTGAGGCTGACAATCACCTTTTAGCATGTCAGGAATTATATGCATAATTTTCTTTAATGAATGTTACAAATGTACATCCCACACTGAAAAAAGATCATAGGTGGTATGAGTAATAACTTTTTTTCTTGAACATAAAGAGTTCCCCTCTAGCTCTGTACATATCCTTCAACATCAATACAACCACAGCTGTCAAGGGAGCCTCACCTCTCCCTATGTATATTTTAGCTTTAATTTTTTCCCATGCTTTCACTTAGTGGACTTTTTTTTTTTTTTTTTTTTTTAAGAGGCCTAAACCAGTTCTCGAGTTTTGTGGGGCAAAATCATTGCAATAACAGATCTGTGTGTTTAGACATCTTTAAACATTATTATTAGCGTACAAGAAATTAGAGACCTGCATCAAGATCTGGAGGTTTGGGGGTTTTCTTAATTGAAAGTGGACTTGAAATCGTTTCCCTCATTCCAGGCTTCCCAAGCCCTTTCCGCAGCTCAGTGAATTCCTATGGCCTCCTTTGGTAAGAGCAGTGTGAGCCCCCGTGTCCCCCCCAGCCTCCTCGTGTCCCCTCAGGGCCTGAGCCCCCATATCCCCTCAGGGACTGAATGGAAATAGTGGATCCCGTTGGTCTCTGAGGGGACATGTCCCCTCAAGGTTCCCCATGTTCCCCTCTGGGCTCCTCATGTACCCTCAGGGCTCCTTATGTCTCCTTGGTCCCTGAGTGCCTGTGTCTCCTGCTGGGCTCCTCATGTCCCCTTGGTCCCTGTGCCCCCATGTCTCCTCCTGAGCTCCTCATGTCTCCTCATGAGCTCCTCATGTCCCCTCAGGGCTCCTCATGTCCCCTTGGTCCCTGAGCGCCTATGTCTCCTGCTGGGCTCCTCATGTCCCCTTGGTCCCTGTGCCCTCATGTCTCTTCCTGAGCTCATGTCCCCTCATGGCTCCTCATGTCCCCTTGGTCCCTGAGCGCCTGTGTCTCCTCTTGAGCTCCTCATGTCCCCTTAGTCCCTGTGCCCCCACGTCCCCTCCTGAGCTCCTCATGTCCCCTCAGGGCTCCTTATGTCCCCTTGGTCCCTGAGCGCCTCTGTCTCCTCCTGGGCTCCTCATGTCCCCTTAGGGCTTCTTATGTCCCCTTGGTTCCTGAGCACCTCTGTCTCCTCCTGTGTCCCCATGTCCCCTCAGGGTTCCTCATGCCCCTTCAGGGCCTGAGCCCCTGTGCCCTCCTGGGCTCTTCACGTCCCCTCAGGGCTCCTCACGTCCCCTTGCTGCCTGACTCCCCATGTCCCCTCCTGAGCTCCTCATGTCCCCCCTGGGCTCCTTATGTCCCCTTGGTCCCTGAGCGCCTGTGTCTCCCCCTGGGCTCCTCATGTCTCCTTGGTCTCTGTGCCCCCATGTCCCCTCCTGGGCTCCTCATGCCCCCTGGATGCCTGGCTCCCCATGTCCCCTCAGGGCTCCTGATGTCCCCTTGGTTCTTGTGCCTCCATTTCCCCTCAGGGCTCTTCACGTCCCCTCAGGGCTCCTCCTGTCCCCTCAGTGCCTGACTCCCCACAACCCCTCCTGGCCTCCCCACGTCCCCTCGGCGCTCCCCGCGTCCCCTCCTGGTTTCCTCACGCCTTCACGGGCGCGGGAAGCGGCCGCGGGGCGGCGGAGCGCGGCGCGGGCGGAACGCGGGCGCC